ATTTTTTTTAATGAGTAATATTAATATCAGTGCACTTGCATTTGGTTTTTTGTGTTTTTACATTTTTGCTTTAAACAAAAAAATGCCAAATATTTACTGGTTCCAGCTTTTCATTGTAAATTGAATGTTTTATTTTTGGATGTTTGAAGATGTCACCACAGGCTCAGGCTTTAAGTTCACTCAAATGAGAGTGAATGAATGAATAAATGAGTTTCTCACACACCTTCAGCTGCCAGTCGGGAAACAACCTGTTGATTTAACGCTTGATGCTGCGCTGCTGTGTGTGTGAGTGCGTAGTGACCCAGAGGGAATAGATAGACCACTGGGCAACTCCACCTTCCTCTTTTCTTTCTTTCTCTTGTGAGGTCTGGCCCCCTTCCCTCCCTCTTTTGCCCCCCCATCCTCACTGTCTCCTGATTGGCTGAGGGGGCGGGCCTCCGTGCAGGGATTAGTTAGCGCGTCATCTGTCTTTTAGGATCAGCCTTGCTCGCTCTTTTCTTCAGTCTGACAGAGCATAGAGCAGGAGGAGGAGGTGGCAGTGGAGGAGGAGGTAGAGGAGGAGAGAGAGAGAGAGAGAGAGAGAGGAAGAGTAAGTGAGTGAGAGAGAGAGAGAAAGAGGAGGGAGGAGGGAAACAGCTGAGAGACGAGTGGCAGCATGCAGTTAACGGAGAGCACGATGGTGGAGGATGGTAAGAGACTGAACAGGACAGATTTGTTCTTTTGGGCTGGTTCTTTTTTTCTTCTTACTATCTTTGTCTTTATCTTTCTTTTTTTCTCAGTTGCTTAACCCACGTCTCTCTCTCCACTCTACATCCATTTATTTGCATTTTTCTCATTTTTTCACACTTTCTTTCTTTTTTCCCTCTGTCTTGTCATTGCAGCCCCCTCCTCCTCTGTCATTCAGCTGGCGACACACGACCCAAAGCCTGCAGTGTGTGTGTGTGTGTTTGTGTGTGCGCGCATTGGCGTGCGCGTTTGTGTGTATTGTTTCCCTGTTGCTCTTGTGCTTTTGTAGTTCAGTTTGTGGGAATTAGTGCTCAAACAATCAGAAAGTCACTTGTTAAAAGTAAAAACCCCTCTGCTTCCAGCTTCTCAGATCTGTAGAGTTGCTGCTTTTCTCTGTTTTTACATATTGTAATTTTAATACAAGACACCTTAATTGTCAAAGCAATTTAAAATATTAGTTGACTAAATCCTCATTGTGGTAGAAATTTGGACCTAGATTGGAAGAGGAAAGCTGTCAGGTGCCTCCATGTGTGCGTGCTTTCACAGGCATGACACTGAAACACACCCACATACTGTAGATGCTCACACACATAGCTTCTTACTTCACCCAGATGTAAAGTTGTGGAAATAAAAGCGGCTTTCTTTGGTGAAGTTGATTCCTGCCTCGTGCTTTGAGTTTTTAGTCTGGGCGGTAATTTCACTCTGGTGTGTTAACTCTTGTTGCAGTGAAGATCTTTGTTGCTGTAGCCCTGATCAGCTGGAGTGCGCACACGTGATTTTATTTTATTTTTTTAAGCTTGCCGTGTTACCAGAGGTCGACCAAGACCCATACTGATGCTTTGTGTGTTTGTCGTGTGTGTGTGTCAGTCTGTGCTGATGGTCATTGTTCAGGAGCGCTGTTGGTTTGCGCCTGCATGTGTGATGACAAGTGATATCGCTCTCTCTCTTTCTGTGTGTGTGTGTGTGTGTGGCAGAGCGCTGCTCCTTTGTCTGCCGAGGGGGAGGAGGGGAGGTTGCACTGACGGTCCCCTTTGTTCACAGTCCCTCGCTCTGAGTGTTTCCCGCAGTAGTTGTGGCTGTGATATTTTCTCAGAATTATGACGCTACAGTTGTGCAACATGATCAGTTTTCACATTTTAGCACATTTTCTGACTGTGTCCTCTTTGTTTGGATGGTTGTCAGTCAGTAAGTTTGACTTGTTTTGTGCAGGACAGATGTTTTAAAATAACAGACCAATCAGATGTATTGATCGGTGTGTCGGAGGGTTCGGCTCCGTAGATGCTGCAGAGTTCACTGCCTCTGGTTTTATTTAAAGCTTCAAGTTTCCTATGAACCTTTGCAACAAAGGACACTGTGTGTGTGTGTGTGTGTGTGTGTGTGTGTGTGTGTGTTCATTGTCCTGTTTCTAATAGTGAGGCTGAAATGAAGTCATAGTCAAAAAGTAATGACAATTTTATTGCTGATGACAATTCAAAACAAAAAAAGATCAATTCTCTTACTCTTACTTGTTTGTTGTGTAAAATTAGTTTTTTGCATTTTCATGTCATTGTCAAATGATAAAAGAAATTTAAGAAAAGACCAATCAATAATGAAAGAAAGATTTTATTAGTTGCAGCCTTGGTGACCCACCTATTGTCCTGTATGATACTGTACTTTGTGTGCTCCACATACTTCCACACACAGACACACACACTTAGCACAGTGTGTTTCAGTGATCATTTTTAAACTACTCTAACTTTGTTTAGTCTTCTTTGTTCCTGACAATTGTGCAAAAGTTTCTATTTAAATATGAGTGGTGTTCCACTGTGTGTGTGTGTGTGTGTGTGTGTGTGTGAGAGTGTGTGTGAGTGAGTGAGTGAGAGAGTGAGTCCGTAAAGTGCTGACAGAGGGGAACAGTGCAGCTGCAGAATGACAGTTTTTGGCCGCGGTGACTGCCTGCCATGGTGACGAGAGAGAGAGAAAGAGAGAGGAAAAAGTGAGAAGTACAGAAGGATTGAAGGAGAACAAAGAGCAGGAGAGGAAGAGGAGCTGTCACTGTGAACCTACCTACCTCCTCTGAACTGAAAATCTGTGTGTGTGTTTGTACCAATTATTTTTTATTAGCAGTCCCAACGTTTTTTGATGAGGTCCTCTCAGCATGAAGTGAGCAGAAGGCCTCAGGCTGTTAACATTCACCACTATTACCAGTTATCAGTTCTTTTTGTGAATTCACATTGTGCATTTCTGCTTCTCTCTAAATGCATCTCTGAAGTGTTTTGAAACCACAGACATTATAAAGTAGCAGGTGGAGGCAGGTGAAAGCCTTTGTGGCCCTAAGTAAAGGTTGTTGACCCCACGCACCAGTCTGTAGCTACAGTTGTACAGAAATTTAAATATTAAAAGTGTCATCATTAAACTAGTTTTTATTGAACACTTCATAAAAACAGAATGTATATACAGTAACATCCAAATCAGAGCTAGGAGCAGAGTGAATTTTGGACTTGCATTTATTTAACTGGACAGCTGACATATTTGCCATAAGTGTATTTTCAGCTTGATCTGCTGCACTCAAGTGGCCAGAAAAAGCAGTTAATGCAGCTTTCAAGACAAACTGTACTGTAGAAATGTACAGTTGTGAAATGTAAACAGTGAATTTAGCAGTATAGCCCATAGGTTGTGGTGGTGGGGGTGGGTACCTTCACTTACAGTAACACAGTAGCCGTGAGTAATGATCGTGTTCACTGCACATGCACAGAGATCATATCTACTCTCTTACCTCTGGAGTCTTATTCAATTCTCCCTGTGCATTGTGGGAACTCCCCTGTCTTGTTTCTGTCGGTCATGTGTGTGTAGTCTGAACGTTCACTGACGCTCTGCTGTAGGAGAATGCTGCTCCGGTGGTGTAGATTAATCTGCATGTTTCCCCTTGTGTGTGTGTGTTTGTGTGTGAGAGCGTAAACTGATTTGTGATGTAGGAGCTCTCCAGTAATTACACTTCTGTTTCTTAAAATGTATCCAGATGTGCCTGGAGACTTGTAAACCTCGGTCTGCTTCACTGTGTGTGTGTGTGTGTGTGTGTGTGTGTGTGTGTGTGTGTGTGTGTTTATTATGGGTCATATTCAGGCTAGCTCTGTTTGGCACACAGCATTGCAGCAAACACAAGTGCTGCTGTGTGTTAGGCTGTTTTCTAGCCTGTATTCACTCAGACTGCATTCGCCTCCAGACTGTTAAACGCTGCTCTGGGTTGGTTCTTATTAACCAGATTTAAAGGTGCAATCTGTGATTATTGGTAGGGCTGGATATTGTTGATAAGATTGACAAGATTTTCCATCCCTTACTTTGAAGATTGTTGAATGATGTCTAAACACAAGCAGCCATACTTTGCCTAAATCAAATAAAATGTCTCATTTAATTCAAAGAATTCAAATTTCAAAGAATAAATACACACAATCACAAGCAAGATGGAAACTTTTTGCACTATAGTCTTTTCTGTAATGAGGTTAGGGAATTTATTCTTTAATAATTAAGCTTCCATTAGGCTGTACAGTATTTAACCCACACAGACTGGATAGCAATGAGCTTTTTTCTGGTCTTTGTTAATACCTGATCATTCCCAGTGTCTGTTTAATATATAAATTTATTAAAGTTAGTATTTTTGTTACATATGAAAACCATAGGATCCTGAGAGCAAACCAGAAATTAAAAACTCATATTTCTGCTGTGATAACAACTATAGAAGATGAACAGGAAACAGGAGAAACAAAAACAGAGTGCTGGCAGGTGTAACAAACATCCACATCCCTCCTCAGGACCGGAGCTCTCTTATAGGAAGCTTGTAACTTTAACTAACTGCTTTAAGCCTCCTAAATGTGTGTGCGCGATGTATGTGGTTTATGACACATAGAATAATTACTGTGATGATGTATGGGCTGTGTTTGTCACTGTTTGCCTGTGTGATTAATAACACGGTCACCAACTGCACCGCTGCTGCATTTGTGTGGAGATATAAATATGGCCTCTGTGGTGAAATTTGCATATGAAGCATGTACTCATGTCTCATGATGAAACATTCATTTTTGGTGTAATTGTTTGTGCACAGTGGAGTCCAAAGTCCGAGACCTCTGAAGGTGGTCACACAGTCCACTGTACAGGTTGTCTGCAAGAATTCTAAATGTTAATGTGAAATATCTGAGAGCTTCTAATCATTTCTGGTTAAACTTTGCTAAGGAACCCCCAGCGTGTATATAAACAGAGTCTGTTTCAGTAGTGACATATTCTCTCTTTCTCTCCTCTAGCTCTTCCTCCAAAGCCAGCAAAGCCCCAGCAGACCTCCTCTGTGGGGGTGGGAGGGGGCAGCAACAACGGCGCCAAGGACGGTGGAGCAGGGGGCTCACTGCAAGAGGCTGAATGGTACTGGGGAGACATATCCAGGTGAGTGCCTGTGATGTTTGGCAGCAGAAATCCTTGTTGTAAAATTTTTACTTTTTTTTTTTTTAAATCTGTAGAAGCGACGAGTCTTAACCGCCTCAGTCTCTGCTTTACCTTCCTAAGTGTTGGTTAGTTCTCAGCCACAGTCAGATGATAACCACACCTACAGTGCAGACAGCCAGTCTGCCACCTTAAACACACACACACACTCATGCAGAGCAGAGACTCTGTTGGCGGGGACCAGTCCATCCAGTCCCTCCCACCATCATTTAGCTGATGGATTGTTTACTGTGAGGTGTGTGTGCGGCTGCGGGGAAAGTCCTCAACGCCTGCCACTGATAATTGGAGGCAGACTTTTTCAAAATGAACACCATCTGTGTACAGATCACTCAACCAACTCAAACACTGCCTTTCTCTGTACGTTCTGGTGTTGTGTTCAGGGAGGAGGTGAATGACAAGCTCAGAGACATGCCCGATGGGACCTTCCTGGTGCGGGACGCTTCCACCAAGATGCAGGGCGACTACACGCTCACACTAAGGTAAACTCTTTAGTTTGTGTCACAGAGTCATGAATGGATTGTTATTTAAAACCACAGGGGGATTTATGGAGGCTGGAAGGGAGTGGTGGTGTGCTTCTCCTGCTCCACTTTTATACAAGCACTCCTCTAGTTAACTGGAGTTGGAGGAAAATCATGTGTTGAAGCATTTTGCAGACACAGCATCCTGCTAAATTGGAGCAAATCCCCCATTGCCCTGGAAATAGTGTTTCAGGGGGAACTGAGCCCTGAACAAAGAGCTGTTAAAGTGTGAATACTAACAAGAATCTGTCTGTTTGAATGAGGTGGATATGTACTCATCTCCTTGCCTCTCTTTTTTTCTCTCTTCCCGTGTTCAGGAAAGGGGGCAACAACAAGCTGATAAAGATCTACCACCGGGACGGGAAGTACGGTTTCTCCGACCCCCTGACGTTCGGCTCGGTGGTGGAGCTCATCAGCCATTACAGACACGAGTCTCTGGCTCAGTACAACACCAAGCTGGACGTCAAGCTCATGTACCCCATCTCCCGCTTCCAGCAGGTCTGCACACAGAAAACACACACACAAACACGCACGCACGCATGCACGCACACATCCAGCAAGACACATTGTGTGTTATGACTTAATTTAATGGGAAAATCCAAATCCAACCTCGGTCTTCAGTGTAACATTTTAGTGACCAGCTTTGTTTTAGAAAAACAAAGACTTGGTGACATAAGCTAATCAGCTGAAGTCCAAACAGCCTAGGAGGTCTTTAAGAGGTCACCGGTCGGGGCATCCCAATGGCCTAGTGGGTAAGACGCATACAATGTGGGCATAATGAGCCCTGAGCAGCAGGTCCCTGGTTTCCCAACACTTTTTCTCCTGTATATCTTGTCTCTTTCAACTTTCCATGTCAAATAAAGCAAAAAAAAAAAAATACCCCAAAAAATGAAAAAGAAAATGCTAAGAAACAAAGGATGGGATCCTCTGCCTTAATGTTACAGTAAAAAGTGATATTTTAGACAAACGTGTCCTCTACAGTTTGTGTCTCCTGTCTCACCATAACGAGGCCCCCTGCACAAAGAAAACTACTTTTCCTTGTTTGGTGTGGATGCATTTAACTTCAACCTCATCCAGCAGCTTCATGACATGTTCAACCAACACACAGAGGTGTAATGCTCAGGTGTTAAAATACTGTAGTTGTGTGCAGTGAAGTGAATGCAGCTCTAATAGTTCAGGTGTGTTCACTTTTGTTTCCTGAGTATTTGATTGAACTGCATTTGTTTAAAACCTTTCTGGTGGCTTGTATTGGACTGCGAGTCTTCATCTCGTCTGTCTGAGATGAAGCCGAGAAGCCAAATGTGATCACAACCAACAGGAGAAACTACAAAAATTAGACCCAGATTATGAGTCTGTGCTGCATCTGAAACACCTTTGTTACCATTTCCCTGTATAACACCCCCGCCACCCCTCCCTCCATACCCGGTGGCTTGTGCCTGGTGTTTCCATTCCAAACTGCAGCGGCAGCAGGATCGCTGCTCGCTGAAATATTGCCCCATTCCACGACCCTCATGCCACACTCCCCTAAATAATTGCACACATCCACCGTGTCAAAGGGCCGTCATCGCATTTATTCCCTCCCTCCCGTACTCCCTCGCTCCACTCATTTGCCAGGCGAGTCATTACTCAGAGTGAAGCAATATCTTCGAGCGTGCACACCTTGCCGTACACCCAGGGCATTGTGGGTGGTTTATTAACGAGCCTGTTCAGGAGTCACCCTCAGTAAGCAGAATCCAGGGTGAAGGGAGCAAACATGCACATGCACTTTTCCCTCTGTCCTTAATTACAAACAGCTCTTTATTCTTTCACACCTCACACTCTGACACATGGCTTTTCCCTTTATCCTCGTCCTGTCTTCACTCTTTAATGCTGTCATCTCTCCTCCATCCCTCAGGACCAGCTGGTGAAGGAGGATAACATTGATGCTGTCGGGAAGAAGCTCCAGGAATACCACAATCAGTACCAAGAGAAGAGCAAAGAGTACGACAGACTGTACGAAGAATACACCAAGACGTCACAGGTAAACACCCACTCGCATATAAAGACTGAACAGAAACAGAAAAAAATCAGGTTTCTTGTCCACTCACTCACCTCCACTTCCTCCCTCCTCCTTTAGGAGATCCAGATGAAGCGCACGGCCATCGAAGCCTTCAACGAGACCATCAAGATCTTTGAGGAGCAGTGCCACACGCAGGAGCGCTACAGCAAGGACTACATCGAGCGCTTCCACCGCGAGGGCAACGACAAGGAGATCGAGCGGATCATGATGAACTACGAGAAGCTCAAGTCTCGGCTCGGGGAGATCCACGACAGCAAGGTGCGGCTGGAGCAGGACCTGAAGACACAAGCCATGGACAACCGCGAGACGGACAAAAAGATGAACAGCCTGAAGCCCGACCTCATACAGCTCCGCAAGATCAGGGACCAGTATCTTGTGTAAGTACAGAGTGTGGAGTTGAACCATAATGAGGTTAAGTAACTTTTTGTTAGAAGGTTTTTTATGATAAATTATCAAAATGACCCTATTATATGTTGCCTGTCTTCTTCCTTAAACTTGCTCCTTTTATAAGAGTAGTCTGTCAACATGGACATTGTGACGTAACCTGTGTTGCTCCAGGGTTCAGTTCATGTTGACTGACAGACATTGACTCATTAAAGTCTGACAGGAGAAGAACATTTCCAAGTAATTCAGTACTCTTGCTTTTATGTTGGCCTCAGACTGTGTCTGCAGGTCACACTTTTCATCCCTGCTATGCTCAAGTTGAATGAGAAAGTGGTCTCATTTTAAAGCTCCATACTTTCCTTTAAGTGTTGATCCATAAAAAGATATATTTGAGGTTGTAAGAACTAAAAACCATCTCAGTGTAGTTTTACATCTCCTCTCTCAGGCTGCTCTCTGGAGCTCTAGTAACAACAGGTCAGTGAGCACGGTCAGCTTTATTATGACATCACAAAGTTACAGAAGTCCTGATGGCTGGTTTTAAGGCTCAGTTTCTGAATACAGGCTGTGTGCATTTCTCTGTGGACTGAGCGTTTTGATACTTTCACAGTGTTAATATAGAACCTAGACCTGAACCCAAACAACACATGGATATCTACCTTTTATACTATAAGGGACCTTTAAACAGAACCTCCTCAAATAATTTTATTTGAAATATTCTCAGGGGCCTAAAGATGTACAAGTTCCCAGTATTTCACAGAAAAAAAGTTATCTTATGTAGTTACAGTTGATGATCACATAAAGTATTAGAGAGATGGATAACACACTGTAAACAGTTAAGCTAAATATCTGTCATTCAACAACTTCCTGTTATCTCATGGTGTACAGCACATCATCCTGTCACCCAGGACATAGTTAAGTCTGTCAGGCGGCTTGATTAGAAACTTGTGTTTCCTCTTACTGAGGCTCTTGCCTGCTCTGCTTCTAAGACGAGTCGTGCAGCTGCTGGTCTCATCCCAAATCATTCTGTGAAGACATTTGTTGGAGGCTCACTAATTTGATTTCTGTTCAGCTTCATGCTCGTTCACTGTACCATAAACCCTGCTGTAAATGAAAGAAGCCTTTTAAACTGATCCCTAGTGGTAGTAATGTCTCTCTCTCTCTCTCTCTCTCTCTCTCTCTCTCTCTCGCTCTCTCTCTCTCTCTCTCTCTCTCTAGCTGGCTCAATCACAAAGGAGTTCGTCAGAAACGAATTAACGACTGGCTGGGAATCAAGAACGAGAACACTGATGAGTGAGTTTTTCTGTTTCCTCGGCTACAAATTTGAGATAAAGCTGAGAGGATGGGGTTAACACTGCTACTGCATATGTCAGTGTACACAGAGCAACTGTTATGTTCATTTAATCTGCAATTTAAAGTACTGAGAATATTATTTCTCCCTCCCCTGCTCACCATGTCTTTCTCATTGTGTAACTGTGTACGTGGGTGCAGAGGCTACTTTGTGAGCGAGGAGGACGAGAACTTGCCTCACTACGACGAGAAGAGCTGGTTTGTCGGGGACCTGAACCGGACGCAGGCGGAGGAGCTGCTCCTCGGGAAGCCGGACGGGGCGTTCCTCATCCGAGAAAGCAGCAAGAAGGGCTGCTACGCCTGCTCTGTAGTGTGAGTACATACCAGACATGACTGTGGTGATGTGCATCTGACATGTCAGTCCAGCTCATCAATACAGTTTCCACTCTGAGATGTCATATTGCACTTACACTCACTCATTTATATATATGAGAAGGTCAGAATATTCGAAAAACTTTCAAAATAATGCATTTTAAGACAACAGCATCACTAACTCTAGCCTCAGACACTCAGAAACAACAGAAACTGAACATTGTGTTAGAGGCACCAGAAACGGGTTATTACATAAAACAGAGACAGTGATAGTCAGCCAGTTTACTCATTTGTCAGTTAGATTCTCAGCTTCTGCACATTAATCTGCAGTAGTGACATAATTTTGTTCTTCCACCCACACTGAGTTCACATTCTTCAACTCCAGAAACTGAGCTCTGAGATGAAGTTCGTTAAAGGGCTGTAGTGATGTAGGCAGCCTTTTAGGAATCTGTCTATAATGGATGATAATGTTTCACCTGAAATTATTTTATAGTTGTGTGATACCAGACAAAAAAGATTTTTTTTTATTACTGACACTATTTAAAGAATCATGTGACACTGTTTGTTGTCAGTAAACTAAACGGAGGAGGATTAAACAAGTTTTTACTTCCTGTTGTTTCAGAGTGGATAAAGAATGGCAACACTTTATTTTAATTATTTTAGTCTATAATTTCCCAGGAAGTTTTCTAGTTTTCCAAGAAAGAACTTTGTAATTTTGTACCAGAAAAATAATTAAAGTTTCAGTTCTTTCAGAGAAATTCCTCCTCAAATCAACATGAGGAAATATCCATTCATTCATTTATTATTGAATCAGTTTTTCCCCATGTCTGATTTTATGCTTGCCTGTAGACAAATTTCACATTTTTAAATGCTCAGTAACTAAAAGACTCACAGGACACAGGACAGTTAGAATTAATTGGAAGCAATTAAACCAATTAAACAGCCTCTATTTTCCATGTAATTAACACCAAATTAGTCTTTTCCAGGAAGAGTAGCACAGTAGTGTCTTTCTAAGAAAATATAGAGCAAAGCAGCTTTGAGGAAATTATCTGAACATTAAAACAGTATTTGCTTCACTTTGAACTGAGGTACGTGTAACATGTCACCTGTGACCAGTTAGCTGATTGACCCTGTTTCCTCTGTGTCTCCGTCAGTGTTGAAGGTGAGGTGAAGCACTGCGTCATCTACAGCACACCGCGTGGCTTCGGCTTCGCCGAGCCCTACAACCTGTACAGCAGCCTGAAGGACCTGGTGCTCCACTACCACCAGACCTCCCTGGTGCAGCACAACGACTCGCTTAACGTCCGCCTCGCATACCCCGTCTACGCACAGATGCCCTCCGGACGCAGATGAACCCCAACCACCTGGCCACGACCCCCACACGGACAACAAACCAACCCCCTCTTGGGGAAGGGAGAACGGGGAGAGTGAAGGGAGGAGGGAAGGAAGGAAGGAAGGAAGGAAGGAGGAGGGAATGGGGGGGGATTGGTTGAAATACAAAGCAACCCCAACACCAGAACTGTCAAAGATAGATAGAAACGAAGTAAACACTTGCTGCAACACACACGTCAGCCACCTTGGAGTTATATATTTTTACAAGAACAATTTCGGAGGGCATTCTTTCTAAAGACTGCTTGATTTGCACAAGGAAGTTTTAAATGTTTGTGAATGTGAAAAAAAAAAAAAAGCGACAGAAGGAAGGAAGGAAACGGAGTAGGCAACTTCAGAGTTTCAGGTTGACCCCGCTGCTACCTAAACTCCAGCTCAGACTTTTTACCAGAAACTCAAAAAAAACCATGCGAATGACGACGAAGACGACAACAAAACATTCCCATTTTAAACCTTTTTTTTCTTTTCCACCTCAGATGATTATATTACAACTTTTTTGTTTGTTTGTTTCTGGAGTCGTTTTCATGTTTCAGATGTTTCCTTTTTTGTTTACTCCTAACCTTGTTTGTGGTAAATGCAAGAGGAGATGATGATGATGATGATGTTGATGATGTCAAGTGTCTTGTTTCTGTCCCTCTCCGTATGAAAAGCAAAAATAATGTAGCATTACAAGACAACGGACACTTATTCTGTTAAGTGTTCCTCCATGTAGACTGCTGCTGAGGGGTTTTAGGGGGAGGGTGGGGGAGTTGAAAGGGGGAGGGGGAGCACAAGTGACATAAAACAGTTTTGTAGTCTTAAGAAGGACAAAAGGTTTGCTTTTATACTAACTGTAAAGGGTTGTTTTATGTTTTGCCAATGTAAATGGCAAACGTCACAGATCAGAACCAGAGACCAAAGTGGTGTGGAGAGGGAAGGAGGAAGGGCAGCATAGTTTTTCTTTCTTTTTACGTGAATGGAGAAACGAATGAGGAAAAGCAAACGAATGGTGTGTTTGAGACCACACATAAAACCGAGTTTTGGGCCATGTGCTTTTGCACCAAAAAGCCTTTTTTTTTTTTTTTTTTTTTTTTTTTTTGGGGGGGGGGGGGGACCAAATGATACATAAACAGAGACGCCAGGACCTTCTGTAAATACAGATAGTTGAGTAAGAAGCACTTAAATCGGCCCCTGTTTGTGACCTCAGCTCCCTGTACGTCATCCTGTGGTTCAGTCACCTTTGTGAATTAAAGTGACAAGTCTAAAACTAAAGTTGAAATGATCAATTATGATCAAATAAGCCCCTTTTCCACTGGTCAAAAAACCCAGTAAGACCCACTCACATTGGGCTTTTGTTAGCAGTGTGAAAGGGTACTTTCAGCATTCACAGCAGGGTCACATGACTCTGCAGTAGATGTGGGTATTTATTGGCTCCAGCTCCCATTGGCAGTGATGTAAACAAAACACCCGGGAGAATCCACTAATGGCAGACCCGTCACCTGTCCGGCACAGTGCTGTTAAACCAGAAACACTGTGGCTACACTGTGCTTGGGGATGAAACAGTTTCCACACGTAAGCTCTGACACTTTTAGAGGAGCACCAACCCAGAGATGGCACGCTACAGATCTGTTTTACCAGTCTGCACGGCGGCTAGCAGCTCACTCTTTTTCCCCCTGCATCTGTATGTGTGCTCTCAGAATGGCAAACTCATCTGGCAGTGTGAAAGGATTTACCCGGGTTTAAAAAAAAAAACCTGCTTACACCTACTGATTTTGGTCTGAAAAGGGTATTAGAGTCTCGACAGGAGAAAGGTGCTGAGGTCACAAACGGGTACAGATGAACCAGTCAGGAAAAGGTCACAGATGGTCAGTTTCACCAAAATCATCCACTGAAGGAAAATGAAAAAGTCTGACCATAAAACCTGAAACCCATTTTATGTGTGGTTTAAAAAAAAGAAGAGAGAGTGATAAATGCATATATGCTAATGACTGTGGGTTGAAAACTGGGACTGTTTGTGTTTTTGTTACAAAACCTTCAGAAATAAGACGTTTTGATAAAAATGTTTTATGTTTAACACAGAAAGGAGGTGGAGGCAGAGGCGAGGTCCTGAGCTGAAGACACAGGCTTTAGATGAAAATACTGAAAACTTGAAAGAACGTGCAATCTAGCATATTGTGTTAATGTAGTTCAGCAGTCACACAGAGAGAGCATGAGATGCACTACGGTCAGAGAGATAATCAAAGTGCACAGTGAAGCTTTTGGAGTGTTCAGTTTTGTTTTTGTCTGATTGCTTAGGTTCCTTTTTTTTATTTTTATTTTATTTTTTTTCTAACTCAGATCTTCTTGCCCGGTGCTTGACTTTATAACCAGTGGAAGAATTTTCTGTCAAAGACTAAAAATAAGGAAAAAAAAGCATCACACAATAAAAATTATCTTCAAAAACTGAAGAGAAAAACAAAACCAAGTTGCATTCGATTCTATTCTTCCTAGAAATTCTCTCTCGCTGATTGGCTGTTCCTCTGGGGAGATGTCGCTGAGATGGTCGTCCCTGTCGCTGCCTGTCTGATAATACCCAGCTATTTTAAGGTCCTAATGAATTAGATCCCCACCCCCTTCTCTAAAACTGAGATACACACTGGCTTTTTTTTTTTTTAAATTTAATTTAATTTTTTACAGAACAAAACTTAAAAAGACGAGACGATGCTGGTTACAAAGTCAGACAAAGCACCTCCCCCTTCCCCTCTTTGTCGTCTGCAGTGTTTTTCACAGTACGATAAGCCAGCATTAGAGTGTATGGGCCACACACACACACACACACACACACACACACACACACAAAAACACACTATGTTACATCTGAGGGAGTGTCAGGTTTTAGGAAGAGGGCCATTGTTTGAGAAGCTGCAGAGGAGTCATTGTGAGTGAATGATACAACCTTGGTTGTACCCACCATGTGTTTATCTACACCCGTCTCAATGTCCTCCTCACCATCCTATAGTGTAGTATCACCGTTATCTCCCCCCGCCACCACCGCCCCACCCCTTTCAATTGTCCATCCTGTAAAGATAGATGAATAGGGGCGAGGTGAGGTTTGTGGAGCTGAAAGCCATTGATAGTCAGTCGTCTCCACCTTCATGGGTATTTTTTATTTTATTTTTTTTTTTAAGTGGATACTTAACAAGTTTGATGCGTCCTAAAGCAGGCAGCACTAAATCCAGTTTGGCCTGTTCTGACACTGACTGCCTGTCATGTTAACACCAAAATGATGTAAAATTACCCAAGTAAATTTCAGAAAATTTGAAAAAAATTCTCCCATCAACTTGGATTACACAGATATTTTCAAGAAGGCGTAACAAGATAACGAAAATTGACTGGGCGCCAGTAAGATGGCAGCATCATTTCATTACTGCTTTCTGTGATCGGACGTTTTTGTGCATTTACTGAAGCGAAATTGGCAACGTCAGTTTCCATTTGAATTTTAACTTTATCAATATGGCAACATTTCCACCTTTACCGAAGTATAAAACTTCTTTTCAAACTGATGTGCCACTTGGAAATGGACATAAAAAGGTGGATGGAAACTTGAGAGTATTTATTGTGACTTCCAGGTCTTTTCCTGGGACATGGTTAGAGCAGACATGGCTAAAAACAAGAAGTAGACAAAAATGATCATAATTGTGTCAAAGTAAACTTTTAATATGACACAACCAGTTGTTTTGCTTCTGAGGACAGACCAAATTTGATTCAGCTTGATGCATACTGCCATCCCAACTAGTCCCTCTCTGCCATCCGAGTGTAGCTAAAAACAGAAAGTGTGGAGGAAGACGGAAGAGACAGTATCAACACAGCTGGACATTTGGTGCAAGGAGATGATATGAGTTGAACTGTGGCTACAAGTATTTATGTGACATTTCAGGGTAAATTGTTTATAAGGTTTTTTTTTTTTTTTTTTTAAATTTCCCATATATCTAAACCAGTATTTTTGTCTGGATATTGGTTCTAGGATCCAGTGTGCAGGTCATTTGTGAGAATTAAACCGTCACCTTTGTGGGAGGCGTCCTCTTAAAGACGAAGACCCTTCCACCTTGATTGACTTCCTGTCTGTTTCTGTCCAGCTGTGATGATGGTGTTTCATCTGCGTTCTCCCTGCAGATTCAGGACTCTTTTAGTTTTACAGGGGACAGAAAGGCGGGGTTTGTCGATATAATCTTGAATGTACAAAAAGGATCAGTCCGGGTCCAAAACAGTTTTTTTTTTTGTTTGTTTGGTTTGTTTTCTTTTTAAAGCACCGCTGGCGTGTTTTGTCCGTAACGGAAACAAGACGATCCTTACTCAAGGTGCTATCGGAAATGCAGGCCCATTGGATTCGGCAGACTTGTAAACGTTTCCATCTCAAAGTCGTGAACCCTCAGGTGTTTTCAAGTTTACCGTAGAAACTACCACACAGCAAAGCCAGCGATTTGAAAGAAAAAAAAACAAAAAAAAACAAGTAAATCAGGGTTTTTTCCTCATTGATACTTAAATCACTCTCAGTCGATTAAGCTAGACCCCCACCACTTTGACTTTTGTAGTGTCCTAAATTCAAGAGGCTTGTCCCTCATGGCTTCCTGTAGCTTAGACACAGCATCGTCACCAAAAGGATGTCATAGTCTTTCCTTCCCATCCATCACCACACAGTCTGAAGGTTTTTTTTTCTTTTTCTTTTTTTTTTTCCTTTTTTTTTGTTAGCTGACATTTTTGCATAGGGAACTCAAAAAATCCCTAACTCTATTACTTGAACAATATTGCATTGCTCACTGTTGAATGTCTTTATATGGAAATATACATTTATTAAAGATAAAAAAATGGAAAACGAAGAGTTCCCTTTTGTTTTATGGTGAGCAGGGTGGAGGTTTTTAGAGTTTTATGACAGATGTACAGTATTCATTACAGGCAAACGTAACGTAGAGCTACTTTAGGAGGGAAGGAGGCGCTTTTTAAAACTTTTCTCAGAGATATGTTTGAATCTTTTCCTTCACAGAGGGCTTGTCTGAAATTGCACACATTATCATCTACAAGAGACT